ATTAATCTGCAAACTCGATTCCATATTTGAGTCTTCTTTATTTCAATCTTTCCTAAATATATAACCTCAACCTAATTAAACAAAGTATAAAAGAAACAGTAACTGACGGAACCTTCAAAAAAGTGAATGACAATTTGAGTGCAAGGGTCTGCCTCATGAAAAATCTCAGCCAGTTTATAACACTATGTTTTGGAAAATAAAAGAAATAAAATAGAAGAAAAAAATAAAGACAAAGAGAAGACAGCTACTGAATTACAAATAGTAGTCCCGTATTGTCAAAGTGTAATTCACAAAATGAATATGATTCCTATTTTCCTAGAACCTTGAAAGTTTACTCTGCTTCTAATATGAGGGTGTAATTGATTTACAGCTGATGCAAGTTGAAGAATCTCAGTGCAGATTAGAATATATACAATCATAGTTACTAAAACTTTGAAAGGTAAGCTTCATTCATTTAAATTCCCTGCTATCATTTGTTTGAAAAAAGAGAGATAAATAATTAGGAGTCTCAAGAAAAATAAGAGGAAGCAAGTTTTATGCTTAATAAGAGGTAAGCAAGTTGAACGTACATTTTTTTGTAGTGGCCATTGTGGCCCTCAGTTGCTGCAACTCCAATCAGGGGTATTAAATTCCTCTCAATAAATGGTGCACCTAACTTTTTAAGAGATTTTCATTATTTTTTTTTATGGTCAGAAGTGTTTCAAGTGGAAACCTTCTCCTTCAAGGCTTCAACCAAAATCGTTTGCCTCCCCATTTCAAAAATTGTCCAATCAAACCCCTTTTATTACATCAATTATTTTAGCCAAGCCTGGCCATTGTTGTTACCTTCTGTGTCTTCAACCCTTGGTTTTTTTTTTAGCTGTAGTATACTTTAAACTTCACAGCCCAATTTTATATTTGTCTGTTCATCTTTCCTTTTCTTTTTTACTTTGTTCGTCTGTTCTCATTGCTCTTCTCAGCCATGGCATTATCTTGGAGATCATGATGCCAATTAAGGTAAGCCTATATGAAAGTTTAGTTACTTTTAAGCTTTAGAGGCTTATGCTTATTTAGGATTTGGTGCTTTACTTTTTGTTTTGACCTTATATTCCTTGACTATTGTTGTTATTGACTTGTCAAATATGCCTTAGATTGATGGTGATTGTGTGTCTAGAGTCTACTCTAGACTATGACTTAATTATTATTGGTGAATGTCTTGAATAATTTTTTTTATGTTATACTTGGAATCTTCAGTATAAAAGACATCTATCTCTCTGACCACTATCCAATATTGACAACTATTGTCCTGGTTATTGAAAAACATTTTCTGTTTACAGAAATCCAGTTCTTTGGACTATGATTAAACAGTCCAGAATTGAAACATAACAAAAAGTGAAGTGAAAATGAAAAAAGACTCCTGAAATATATCAATGGATTCAACCCCATTTTCCATTGTCCAGGAAAATTCTCAATTCTTGTGAATTGTTGAATTAAATTTCACTGTTGCCAATGTTCCTAACCATAGTATAGTATATATTTTTTAAGTCAATTGGAGGCTGACCATCAATGATGATAGGCTCATTTTTCAGTTAAGGAAATTTGGTTGGTATTTTTAATGTGTAGCATGTTCTTTTTAATCTTCCATACTTAGGCAGTTATTGGTTCTCTGTCCGGCAAAGAATGTTGCTGTTTCGTTTTGTTCTTTCCATCGTAAGCCAAATGTTCAAATCAAAAATATAATTAAAAGGTAAAATTTAGTTTCTAACAAGTATTTATTTTATGCTCTCTGTTATAAATTTTAACCATCTAACTTACATTCATTTATTTTCTTAGTGTTATGGTTGTCTATAATGTCATGGGGGGTAGATCTACAACACAACCAAAGAACCTAGATTGGATTTATCCCATGGTAATTGATTTGTAACCTCAATATGCCTAAAATGTTTTTTTATTAGCTTAAATTAAAAATTACTTATACAACTCAATCTAATTTTCATTTTAGAGTAATCAACAATAAGGAGGTCACGAATGTGGATATTATGTGATGAATTGGATGTTAGACATAATTGAAGGGGAAGTAACAAATAATTGGATTGAGGTAATGTAACTTTTTTACTTTTACTATCATTAATTTATTTACATGATTTTTATGTAACTAATATATTATATTGTATGTTACAGCTTTTTGATGATGTTGCACCATTGCCGGAAATCAAATTGGAAGATATTTGGAGTCAATGGGCAACCTTCTTTTTAGAAAAATTTAGAAATAGAGCATGATTTTTAGTTTAATTAGGATTGTTTATAATATAACTCCAAAACAATTTTCTGCCTTTATTTTTTAGTTTATTTTCTTATCCGAAAATAAAATAAACTAAGTACTTAAAGCTTAGTTATCATGTTTTGGTCAAGAGGATCTATTTCTAATTTGATTGGGATGCTGTTAGAGAATGAGGAGGGGTCGGATGTTACTTTCCCTGTAGGTGGAGAAAGGTTTCATGTGCATAAGCTTGTTTTGGCTGCCCGGTCAACTGCATTTGAAACCGAGTTTTTTAATGGGATGGAGGAAGATGATCGTGACATAGTTGTTAGTGATATGGAACCTAAGGTTTTCAAGGTAGAATATAGATTCCTTAAAATTGTCATATTTATTCCTATCTTTTTGTAGTTATTACATGCTAATTAATTTAGTTTTAGTGTGGCATATCATTGGCTTGGCCATCTAATGTTTCTTGTGTCCCATTGTTGAGCAGGCTTTGCTTCATTTTATTTATAGACTTTCTTATTGATGATGAAGAGCTCTTTACGTCATGATCATCTTTGTCATTCTTGCCTTCGGTGTCTGAATCATTTGCAGCGAAGTTGTTAGCTGTTGCAGAAAAGTATGGTTTGCCAAGACTTAAACTGATGTGCGAGTGTGTACTTTGCAAAGACATATCTATAGATTATGTTGCCTATATTCTGGCTCTTGCTGATCATTATCAAGCTATAGAATTGAAGTCTATCTGTCTGCAATTTTTTGCTGAAAACCTTCTTGTTGACTTTTCCTGCTTATCCAAGTCTACATTTCAACTTATAGTCGCAGCTATTTTTGAGCTTATAATATATTCTCATTAGTTTGGTCTCTGTATTTAGTATAATATTCTTCAGTGATATTTTATTTAATATTTGACTAACCACTGTATCATACATGCATTTTATTTGTATTTTTGTTTATGGCTATCTACTTGGTTTCTACCCAAAAACTTGTTTGAAGGACCTCACTTATAATGGCTGGTGGCATGCATAAATGACTTAACTTTCTTTAAAATTTTCATCTCATGCTGATGAAAATTTTCACCACTTGCAGACATGTTTGTATGGAAATAAGCTTTAATTCTCATTATCATGAGCACATATAGCAGCACCTTTTATCTTGTATCATGAATTCATGATTAAGTTTCTTTCATAAGGATTGTATTAGTGTTGTCAAATAGCATGACTATTGTGGCTCTATAATGATTATCTTGTTGTATTTAAATGCCAACGTCCGTTTCGGCGGGTGGCGACAGTAGGCCTCTTATGAGGTTATGCCTTTTCAGTTTTAAGATTAATCTTAAACTTGCATGACTAAGCTTCTTGTGCTAGAGCCACTGGTTTTCATATGAAACTACACAATCAACATTTTGATTTTCTAGTTTGTTAAGAATTATTTTATACAGGTTGTTGCATCTGTTAGCTGTAAATAATATGGATGAATCAGATTGACTAACAGTACATTTATTTTTGTTAAAGGATACCTCATAACCACTATCACACAATTGACTTATGCTGAGTAGATTATGTGTTAATCCTTTAACATACACAACATTATCAATAGTGATAGAGGAGTTGATACCTATTTTACCTATCTCCATGATATGTCTTTTCTATCCTCCTCCAAATGTGACTTGCCCTCCTTTCTTGGTCCTGAGGTCTAGGAACATAGATCTTTCACCCGTCATGTGTCACGAGCAGCCACTGTCCAGGTACCATGACTGGACATTTCTTATTCTTATTAAACAAATCTACAATAGGTACTATTTCAGTCTTTGATACCCAAATGGATTTGGTTCCATGAGTGTTAGCTCTTGAGGTTTTGAAATACCTATTTTCGTGCATGTGACTGCGTGTGGATGTAGAATGTCCATGATTCTTATGAGAGTAATATGCATGTGTTCTTCTTTTAATCTCTGATTCAGATTCAACATATCCTAGTCCAGACCTATTATTTCCACTCCTATAATATTTTAAAAGATGTTCGAGGTTTTTAGCTCCTAGAGTGAGTTTTGACAAATCTGATTTTAATAGGTCAATTTCTTTTTTAAGTTTGTTCACTTTTTCTGAAGTTGAAAAGTATTTTTCGGATTCTTTTGATAGCTTTGCATTCTTATTTTTGAGAAGCAGATTTTCTTCAAGTAATTTAGAAATCTTTTTCTTTTGTTCCTTATAGGCTGTAGAGATTTTAGTAGAATCAGACAAAAGTTGATTATATGCATGCTCAAGAGTTTTAAAGTTAGATTTAGTTACCTCTTCATCATTAGATTCTGATGATGAGTCTACGTCTTCCATGAGACATATGTTTGCTTCAACATCATCCTCAGATGACATGGTATCATGGTCCTCCCAGGTAGCCATCATTGCCTTCTTTTTTCTTGTAGGAGATCGACTTCTTTTTCTCTTTTTCTTTTTCGTTTTTTAGTTCTGGACATTCGGTTTTGTAATGTCCAGGTTTCTTGCACTCAAAGCACAGTGGTTGGGCCTTCTCTCTAGGAGCTCTGTTGTATTTTCTCCATCGTATTCCTCCCTTCTTTTTCATCATTGAGTGGATCTTCCTTGATAAAAAGGATATCTCATTGTCTGTATTGCAGGTACCTTCACTACAGCTTTCGTCAAACGTCTCTTCTACCCTTAAGGCTCTTGAGGATGTTAGAGTGGACTTTGTCTTTTGTACATTCAGTGCAATGGATTTCTGTTTCCTCCCAGCATAGTCTTGTTGTAGCTCTAGCTCGTGGACTTTGAGTAGTCCAATGAGTTCCTGCAATGAGAACTTTTCTAAGTTTTTGGACGCTCTCAAGGCTATGACCTGTGGTCTCCACTTCCTAGGTAAACTTCAAAGTAATTTGTCAAGATGATCAAAGTTATCATAAGTTCTTCCTAAAAATGAGAGTTCATTTACAAATGTTTGAAATCTTCCAAACATGGTTTGGATAGATTCACTTTCTTCCATCTCGAAGAGTTCATACTTAGGCGCCAACAAGCTTAGCTTGTTGCGTTTTACCTCTAGGGATCCCTCATAAGTCAGGGCTAGTGTATCCCACATCTGTTTTGCACTCCTGAAGCTGTGAACTTTAGTGTATTCTTCCTTAGACAGGGCACACATGAGCGCATTGTGTGCTTTTGAGTTTAGTACGAATCTTTGCTTTTACTCTTTATTCCATTATGCCTTGGGTATCTCATCACCAGCTTCATTTCGAGGGATGTAGTTTCCTTGTTCCACAACGTCCCACATGTCTATATGACATGAACAAAAGAATGTATAATACTCGTTTGTTTAAAATAGTCATATTTTGTTCCTCTGAAGAGAGGTGGGCGGTTTACAACTCGTCCTTCGTTTTCCATGATCGTTTCCCCTGTAGTGTTAGATGCTCAACCCAAGGGGTCAAACTCTGATACCAACTGAAGTTAACGAAAATACACATAGAAGGGGGGGTTGAATGTGTGTGTGTGTGTTCGAAACAAGATTTTTCAAAAATGCTTTGTAAAGATACTTTTTTTTCTTTTAATAAAAAATATTCAAGCATTATTGAAAACTAGTATAGGCTTGTCTGACTAAAAAGATTTTTGCGTCCAGTAAAACTGATCGTCTACTTCAAGAAACAAATTGAGTAAAATTTTTTTCCGTCTGAAAGGTTTTATCGTCCAAATAAAAAGATTATTTCTTAAAAAGGAATGGACAAATGTGTTTTCGTCTAACACTATGTTGAAATGAAAGTAGATGAAAGACGAAGTTTTTAAACAAGTAGTGTTTGAAAAATAGAAAAAGGTACGCATAGATGCTTATATTGGTTCACTTAATTTGAGCTACGTCCAATCTCCTTCAATTGAAGGGTTATACTAATCATAGAGGATTACAAGTATTCTCAACCACTTCTGACTCGTCAACCTCACTTGTCGACGCTAGTATTCTTAACCACTTCTGGTTCTCCAAGTATTCTTGACCACTTCTGGCCCGCTAACTACATTCACTAACGCTAGTATTCTCAACCATTTCTAGCTCACAAGTATTCTTTCTACCAGCCTCTTCAGGCTTTATAGCAAATGAGGATTTTGAGTGTGTTTACAACTCTCACAGAGAGGATAGGATAGTTCCTACACTCACTAAGGCGCGTAACCTTAGTTTTACAGGAGTAAGTGTCTAAGTGTTTGTTTACTCTCGTAGAGAGGATATACTATTAGCAACACTCACTAAGATAAACTATCTTAGTTTTTACACAGATATACAGGAAATGCTTTGAGAAGAAATGTAGCTTATGCTCTTTCACTTTCTTTTTCTTATTGCACATTTTCTCTACTTCTCTGTTCTCTGCATCTTCTTCTTCTTTGATACTTATAGTCAGTTGATAAATCTGCCCATTGTTTAAATTCAAATTTTCCTGTTGGAGTGTAGCTTCATGTCGTTGCAGATAGAGGCTTGTTCATGGCTATGTAAATCTTTTCATTTAATGCATTTGATCTTGCATTAAATGTTTGCTTGTATACTTGAAGTCCTTTTGTGTAGCTGATCGTTTCAATGTCTGACTTCAATCATGATCTAGGTATATTTGTATTTTTGTGTAGTTGTCCTTTCTATGACGCACGCGGTTTTGACTTGCGAATCCACGCTTGCCTATTTTTCTTCTTTCTGTATTCAGGTTTGATGTCCTTTTGTGTTTCTTGTATGATTTCACTCAATGTGATTAGTGAACTTCAGACGTGCTTCATTATTTTCTGACTACGTCTGAATACATATTTTAGTTTTGATTCTTCTTCTGGTCTTGACTACCTTTTATGTCTATTAGTGATGACTTTGTCTGGTTGTTCGTTAGGCTTTATTTGATGATTTTGCAAATCCATGTTGATGTTTAGCCAACTTTCGTCCCGTTCTTGACTTAGTCTCCTATGATGCCTGTTTTGGTCTTACATCTAATCCGTGAAGCTTCAGATGATAGATTCATCTTATCTTGTATTTGATTTGGGTCTGGATCAACCTTAGTTTTGATACTAGCTTTGCTATCGTCTGATGTCTTGTTCAATTCGATTATGCTTGATCATACTTTGTCCTTCATTTTTGCCTGAACTTATTGTTATCCATCTAAAACACTAATGCATATGTTAGGAATATCAATATGTATTATATTTTTCATATTCAAAACCTCGATGGGAATTATGAATGTCCTTCGTCTTACTTAACAGAACCTTCATTGTGGGCACAAGAACTCTAGCACCTAGGTGTCTAACATCGAATGTTGACATCCTAACCATATCATCTCCCATGGCCCGATGGTGTACAATGGACCTTAACATGTGAATCCTCCATATGCCCACAAGATTGATGATCCATCAAAGATCAACTCACACTGGTTAGATGTATCGGTGTTAGTGGCAATAATAGAGGGATTAATAGCTACACATGATCCTTTTGTACTCACACATGTAACAACTAGGTCAATTAGTAGAGTAATATATTGAAACCGCTAGCTAAGTGTCTGCATATGCTCTTGTAGTTGCCTTTGCATGTCCTCATGCAACCTCGTATGAATGTCCTCTTGCCTCCTGCTAAATTTCTCCTCATAACTCACCTCGATAGAAGCTTTAACGTAAGAGACATTTAGTTTCATCAACTGGTCCACCATGCCAATTGATTGTGAAAATGACTATAGTCCAAAGTAAGTCTTTAGGTTATGACCTCCACCAGCAGCTTGAACTTGACCTGGATACTTGAGC